AAGGAAGGAAGGAAGGAAGGAAGGAAGGAAGGAAGGAAGGAAGGAAGATAAAGTTCTTCCATCAAATAATCATTAGAACACTAAAAGTTCAAAACCAAGAAATAATATTAAGGACTTAGAGCATGAAATCCAATTGACATTTAAAGCCAGAACTGAAGAAAAGCAGACACTAAGAAATATATTATTAAGGTAAGTATTATTTATCTTTGGTCACTGATAACACTTCATTCTTCTCTACAAAATACCTTATAATTCCTTCTCATTTTTTCTCTACATCCTTCAAAATTCTCAATTAAATTGCTGTGTTACTCTGCCATTTTTCATGGCAATTGAAGATAACAGTAAAGAGTCGAATCTGAATTACATATCTGTGAAGAGTAAAGTTGACGATTTCACGAAAAGCTAATTTCTATGTTGAATAAATATTTATTGGTGTGAGGAAACTGACAGAGTACAAGCAAGCAGTGGCCTGCTTTCCCCATGTTCTGAGTAAAACATTCAATCAACATCTTCAACAAGATGTGAGCAACATGGAAATGCAAGGGGACACTTCAGCAACAGCAAACTGTAGGCAACTGAATAAAATGAAGAAAAACATAATGTTACATCTATAACACAAATGATAGCTATAGCCTAAGACTAAAGAGGTAGGGAATGGAGAGACTTCCGTCTTTCCAATTACTGGTCCATAAAAGCAAAAAGTGAAATCTTGATATACAGAGAAATCTTATTTTGAGACTCTAAAGACAACTCTCCTATAAATTATAGCAGGAGATCTAGGGAACCACAAAATTTCAAGGACAAAAACAGGAGCTGACCTACTGTGGAGGCTCACTGTCTGACCACAGGTAAGATGCAACATGTACAGCCACTTTGTGGGTAGATGCATCTCAGAGCCTCAGCCATTGAATCACAAAAAGGAAAAGGGTAATGTCTCTATGCATTTTTTAAACAGGAGCTAGAAGCCTGAGAAGTATTATGAAGTAACAATCCATGTGGAAGACTGAAAACTCCCATTACCATGGATTTCATTATCTCTTAATTAATCAAGAATGGGACCAAATTTGCTGAACAGTAAAAGTCATGGAGTCAATAAGAAACCTCAATTTTGCTTCATTGTTTTCTAGTTCACACACACACATGCACACACACACACATACACACAAACAAACACAAACACAGGTCATTGTTCTGGATGATATACCAACTAAGTGAGTGACAATAAGAGTAAACTAAGATGTTTTCCAAGTCTGCATGCTTACTGATGTTTATGAAGTTGAGACCAGTGAATAAAATCAACATTTATTGAAACTAAGAATCTATAGATTATGCCCATTCATAGGTTGTGCTAATACCCGCATTTTCTCACACATTCTATGGATGGACACCTTATATAGAAAGACAGTGATGACTGATGTAGGAAATCGGACTCAAATACTAGATAATAAATGCAATCTTGTAAAAAAACAAAAACAAAAATAAGATCTTGGGTTAGATTTATGGTCCCTTGGAGGGTGGTAAATACTAGACAGACATACTACAACCAGGGAAATGGTAAACGAATCCTAGGGAATTGAAATATTAGGGGCCACTCATATTTAATGCACATATTTGTGTGTTCAGTGAGAAAGTCAGATTGAACTTGGAGAAAGACTCTGGACTATGGGAGGTATGTAAGCTGAATCATGTCCATGTCATGGCATATGGCACAATATCTGAACTGCTATTGAAACTGATACTAACATGTTTGAACATGAAAGACTTAGAGCAGCCAACTATAGTCCCTATTGGTCATGGCTGGAAGATATTTGTACCAGAAATTGAACTTTGTATAGAATCTTTTCACTGGGAATTTCAGGATAGCTAGGGAGAATATATCTAAACAGGAAGCATCTATGAATTTTGAATTAAGAAGAAGCTTTTGTGCAAATATACTTTGTGCATTTGGTCACATTCATTCTCTACTCCACCTCCTTTATTTTTCCTCTATTATAATCCAGTTCATTATTCCAGACCATTTCATAACTTTAGCTTTTATGTCCAACCTCTACGTAATTTTAGGGATCTGCATAAAACTTAGAAACTACAAACAAATGGAAGCATGTGATACTTTTATGCGTTTTCTTACTTAATTCGATGTGATGATCACATTAGAGCCACTTTTCTGTAAATAGTCTAAGTTAATTTCCATAGAAATATGACCACATCAGTGTTTCCTATAGTATTATTATCCATAAAAAGTTATAGAATCATCTATTTATCTGTCAATAAGTAAATCGATAATACAAACATATCATGTATGCTCAGTGGAGTGAGTTTCTTTCATTCAGCCATAAAGGTAAATGGCTATTTACAGAAAAATGGACCAAGGATACAGTTCTGATCACTGACTGCTGCTATCTGGAATGTCCATCCTTTCTAATGTAGGAATTGTTAGCTGCTATTTTCTCATGGTCTCTATCATTGGGAACTTAAAACAGGATTTAGGCAAGGATGGATAGCAGACATTAACTGTGCTATGAGGTCATATTTATGAATATCCATTTTAAGACTTGAAGAGACTCATCCTTTGGGGTAAAGATGATTAACTTACTTCAAATCATCAGAGAAAATTTATAGCATCTGTTGTGCAGACAAAATTTAACAATCCTTCTTATATACATACAATATAATACTCTTCAATTTACAAAGTTCACTCATGGACTTGACCTCTCAGGCTATTTTGTGTGTTTGTTTGTTTGTTTGTTTGTTTCTGTTTTTGAAACCCAGATATAATGCATGGTTTTCTGATGTGATACATAAAGTTATTGCAATATTCTTGTGTCTGTTGAGATTTTCTTTGTGAATGAATATACAGACAACTTTGAATTAGGTTCTATGAGATGCTGAGAAGAAGGTATATAATTCTATGTTTGTGTGAAATGTTTTGTAGATATCTGTCATGTCCATTTGAGTCAATGGAATACATACTCAAAAGAAAGAAGTAAAAATGACTATTTGCAGATGATAAGATAGTATATATAAGTGACCCCAAGAATTCTACCTGGCAACTCCTACAGCTCAGAAACATTTCAGTCATGTGCCTTGATACAAAATTAACACAGAAAATAGTTATTTTCCCTCCTATACACAAAAGATAAATGAGCTGTGAAAGAAATTATGGACATAATACTCTTCATAATGGTCACCAAAAATATAAAATATACTGATATAACTCTTAACAAGCAAGTGATAGACCTATAAGACAAAAATCTTTGAGGATGAAATGAAATTGAATATATCAGATATACTGATTCAATGCAATTCCCATCCAAATTCCAACACATTTCTTTATAGATTGTGAAAGAACTATACTCAATTCTATATGAAAACAAACAAAGAAACAAACAAACAAAAACCCAGAAGAGTGAAAACAATTCTGTAAATATAGGTGTCACCATATCTGACTGTGAGATGTACTACACAGCAATAGTCATAAAAAACAGTACAGACATGAAAAGAGACAAGCTGATCAATAAAATTGAATTGAGGATACAGAGGTAAACACATGCACCTATATACACTCTATTTTAAAGATCCATACTATAGAGAAAAAAAGCAACATTAATAAATGATGCTTGTCTAATTAAATGTCTGCATGTAGAAAAATGTAAATAGTTCAATATTTATCACCCTGAACAAGTTCAAGTCCAAGTAGATCAGAGACCTAAACATAAAACTAGTTACACTAAATTTAATAGAACAGAAAATCGGGAATAGCTTTTAATGCATTGATATAGAATACAACTTCCTGGATAGAATATGAACACCTCAGGCATTAAGGTCAGAAATTAAGAATTGGAACCTCATGAAACTGAAATCTTTGTTATGATAAAGGACAGGGTAAATAGGACAAGACAGCAGCATATAGAATGGGAAATGAACTTCATCAACCTTGCATCTAACACAGGGCTAAAATCTAAAATATATAGAGAATATGAGAAAGTAGGCATCAACAAACTGAACACCACAACTAAAATCTGGAGTACAAATCAAATCAAGGAATTTTAGATAGAGGAATCTCTAATGGCTAAGAAGCACTGCAAGAAATGTTCAATGTTCTTAGTCATCATAAAAATAGAAATCAAAATAACAGTGAGACTTAGAAAGGCTAAGATGAAAAGTCCAGTGACATCTCATACTGGCCTGGATGTGAAGAAAGGAGAACACTCATTCATTGGTGCTGAGAGTGAAAACTTGTAATACTAGTTT